AGTGCTAATTGTGTGGCGAGTGTTGTATACATACGACGAGTGATTAGTATTATTAATACTGTTAGTGATATCGACACCAAAACACACCACAAGTCGTATCAATGAAAGCAAACATGAGTTTAGAGCCGATTGTAAACTCCATTCATTCACAACAGACACCACAACAAGACGTCGACAAATGTGTTGATGTATGTCATCACCACTACATCCCTTTCCGTGCCATACCTGTGCCCCTGTTTTGGTCGCACATCCAAAGGCCAACCCCTATGCCATTGACACGTAAACACGTGTTTGTGTCGCGCACTGAGGGCCAGTATGTGTGCCACGGGTTTGCCGATCATGTCGTGTATATGAGTGACGGATACCGTGACTGCTGTGACCAAAACGGGGCTCCGGAGGGCTCACCATATGCCACATACCCTAACCTCTCACTCGATTCACTCATATTAATGTCATTTTGTATTACATTTACATCCCTGTGCTGACCTACCCGTGCGCACAGTGTCCGCTATGTATGGAAGCGCTGGACTACGACGACCTGGGGTTCTACCCGTGCGGGTGTGGGTATCAGGTGTGCCGCTTCTGCTGGAACCGTCTCAAGAACGACGAGAACGGCTTGTGTCCGGCGTGTCGACAGCCATACCCCGACTCTCCCATACAGTTCTCCACAATCAGTATCGAAGCCGTCGAAGAGCTCAAGAAGAAGAAGAAGAAACAGAAAGAGAAGCAAAAACTCAAAGACGGTCTGCACTGAGCGACACGACTGTCCACTGGCCTCATTGGGCGCCTGTATTGTATGTCTGAGTCTAATGTTTGCTCTCTTTTCTGGTGATAATTAGCGGCCAAATCGCAGAACTTGTCGTCCGTACGAGTGGTGCAAAAAAATCTACTCTTTGTCATCGGTTTACCACAGCGTCTCTCTCAGGAGGACCTCAGGTATGGCTTTGTATTCATGTCCACCACTTCTAGACCCCTTTCCCTACCACTGCTCCGCGAGATCTAGAGATCTCTGCGTTTGTATTCATTCACACGAAATGAGTGTTTGATTAAGTGATTGAAATTGAAATTAATTGCGGTTTTTGTTTGCAATCGATTACAGTATCTGTTTCTAGCGTTTACTCTAATGATTACGGCTTTTGTTATAAATTAATTGAAGGCGTGTTTAAGACACAAATTGAAAGTGTTTTTTCTATTGTTATTCACTTAAACGATAATTTAAAATAGGGTTTCGTTTAACTGATAGAAAGTGACAGAAAATGTTTGCTCATTTTTTAATGAAAACAAAATATTTTTCTTGTTTTCTCCCAAGTCATGGCTTCAATTTAAATGTTTATTCAATTTATAACACTTTTATCCAAAAGGGATTTACGTTATAATATATGCAATGAATTCATTTGATTAGTAATTCGGTGTGAATTTATTTTTAACATCAATTTTTTGGTGTAATAAGTATTTAATAAGTTTAGCCTTCGACTGCCATATGTATTGAAATATTTGTTAGTTTTTTATACTTTTTTTCGTATAATAAAACTTTATTCATTTCAATATGTTATCGATTGGTAACCAATATATCAGAGTATTATTAATAATAGCGAGTGAATGACAGACACAAAACTCCATTAAAATATAAGTTAATATTTGTTTTATTATTATATTAAATGTCAAAAAGTGTCTTAATTTAGACTCGCTTTCGTGTCCTAATATTCAATTTTATTAGCAATTGTCTCGGTATTAATTGTAAGTTTTGTTTTGTTTTGTGCGATATTTTTATTGCTATTTTGTTAGTGGCCTTCAATTACCAGAGTCTAGAAAAATTGGATTATTATTAATGTATTTGTTTTTATGTATAATTTGTAACGTATTTTTCAGATTAATTATCAATTTTTATCGGTTATTAAGAAATAGGGTTTTGTTTCATCCGTTTCTCTCATATCTCTCGTACGGCAGTCACGACTGAATCGGTTGTCTGGTATTCGTGACCAAAATGATGTGTTTTTTATTTGATTTTAATTCCGAAATCATTTCTGAATTTGTTTTAGTTTTCAATTGACTGACTTTTGTCTGCTTTAATGAACATATGATTAGAAATGTTTTTATTATTTATTACTCTTTTCGTTATGAAGTATTATATCATTTGTTTTAGTTATGAAGTAATCATTGCATTTGGTTTTTATTTACGCTTTTAATTCAGTTTTTTTCATTAAACTTTCCACAAATTCATTCATACGTATGGCTTATGTGGTAGTGTTTCACGAGTTTTCCCATATTTTTGTTGTTTATAATGAGTTTGGCATTACTTATGCCTCTTATAGTATATCACGAGTTCTTGAATTGATAGCAAAGATATTGTTTTTTAGACTAAAAATTGCTGTTTTTGTTATCTATTAATTTGATAAAAACATCGTTTAATCGTCAAATTCATATACGAGTTAATTGTCTGCATATTACATAACACTTGAAACCCAATCGTTATTCATATTTATACCATGTATTTGTGTTAAAGATTTATATCTATTTATTCTTATAATAAATTATAGTTTTGACTTATTTTGCGCTATAATTAGGTTTTGGTTTAGCATTACTGTTATATTGTAAAGGATTTTAATAGAAATATTTGTTTGCATTTTATTTGACGTAAAATTTATTGCGAAATATGTTTAATATTTTGCAGTATTATTTGTATATATAAATTGTTTGGTTGAATACATAATGTAGGGTATTGCACACAATTTAATATAATATTTACATTAAAATCTTATTAAAGTTTACAATTTCGCAAAATTTGCGCAAAAATTGACTACAACTTTCAAGAATCAAAACCATTTTAAACATTATTAAAATGCAAAACACAACAAACTTATTGCAATTAATTTCGTTTCGACACAAAATTTTTGGTTTTCTTATTTGAATATTAATTTTTGATGTCTTATGGAAAACATTACAGAAAAGAGTTTATAAAATACGGAAAGATATTAAAAATGGTTATAAACCAGTCGTCGGCGTACGTGACGTACTCCCGGCCCGAGGATGCGGTGGCGGCCATTAAATCGCTGAATGAGACCAACAATAACACCAACAAATCAAACCAGAGGTCCGGCAGTAACAGCGCGACTCAGCAACAGCTCCGGGCGTCGTTAGGAACCACCAAATACTGTACTCATTGGCTCCGGAGTCAGAGCTGTCCTAAACAACCCGATTGTAAGCATTACTTCCCGATATATTTGATTGATTTATGTATTCATTTAGGGAATAGTATTTCAAAGTGATATTTAATGGTTTT